GAAATGGTCAAGAATGAATGGGTGATTGATGAATGAATGAATGAATGAATGAATGAATGAATGAATGAACGAACGAATGAACGAACGAACGAACGAATGAGAATTGAAAGCAAAAGTGAGAACAGAGGGCCTTGAGGTGGTTTGACCCTGTAGAGGGAACGATGAAGGATCCAAGAAAGAAATAAGGTGAAGGAAGACTGAGCGGGTTGAGAGAAAGGGGAAGACTGAGAAAGTTGTGACCTGACGGAGGGACGAGATCCTCAAAAAGAGAGAGGGGGGAAATGTGCGAAGCCACGGACGTGCCTGGGGAAGCAAGAGCAGAAAGGTACAGAGCGACACAGGAAAGGTCAGTTAGTTTTGTCTTTCTTTTCCTTTATCCCCTGCCTCTAATTTCCTTGGCTCATTCCTTCTCACTCTCGGTCTGCATTCTGCATAATGTTACTTGCCTAGCACAGAGGATGCTACCTGTTCGCTTTCCCTTCTCTCATGGCCTGAGGAAGGGGAGGGGATGGCACTTTCTTGCCAGCCCAGCAGGAGAGAACAGTGCTCTTGCACAACTGATGTCAGCATGCAATTGTCTGGTGTGTCAGAGATTTTCCAGGTAAAATAATGACCTCTCCTTCCCTTGCCCAGCAGGGAGGTCCTACCCTCTATGAAGTCTCCGGTTCCACCAAGGCGCACACAAAGCCGAGCTTACCAGACAGACAAATCCTGAATGCGACTTCCTCTTTTCACATGGGACATGCAGGAGAAAAGCCAACAATTTAAAAGAAAGTCTCATCCGGGCCATTCAAAACCTACCAGCAGGGGCGGTGCCTCACGGTACTCTTCCATCCAGAGGGAACTGAAAGGTAAATGTGCTGATAAGGACGACTGGCTTTGACTTCAGAGTTCCTTATATATTACATTTAGAAGTAGGAGAGAGAGTCACTGAAGGAACTCAACTAGGCCTGAGGCAAATCTTTAAATTTTCAATAATTGGCTATAGTCACAAGTAAAAGCAAAATGAAACTGCTGAAAATTCTGATTTAGTGCTTACAAAGAGTGTGATGGTGACACTCTCTCTACTTGGCCTCATCATTAAATAAAATTTCCAGAAGCCAATGAAGGAGCATAAACTTCCTTTTGTGCACAAAGGGGAGCCATAGCTTCCCACCCCCCTAACAAACTAATAACAAACTTCAAGGCCGGACCTCAGATACTAATTTGATGGAAGAGTTGTAAACCAGGGATCCAGATTAGGATTTCACAGGGAACTTTAGTGTCACGGTTAGGTTCTGGTCAGTTTAACCACTCCCACTGATGAAGAGAGCCAAAGAAATCTTATGCTGCCACGAACAATATAGGCCAAAGTTGTCAACAGTTCTGGCCGTCATGCAAAACTGTCATCTGACAAGGCCAAACAATGAGGCTGCATCTCAGGGCTCAGCTGAAGACCAGATTTAGTAGGTGGAAGCCAGAAGAATATCATCGGTGTAGCTGCAATCCGTAGGTTCCTGATGGAAGGTGACAGGTAGCATCCATCAGGTTGTGTCAAGAAAGGGACCTCAACACGCACATGCTGGGCTCCAGTTGAAACACCCGGGTGGATCCAAACAATATTAAAAAATTGCCATTGGTGCCTCTCAGATAGAAAAGAGGGTTTGGGGGCAGAAACTGAGATCATTGGGCTCCAAATGAGCCATGAAGATGTGGGCAGGTGGAACCATGGAAGACCCTCACCAGATCTCATTCGGAGAATTATTCATTAAAAATATTTCAATTCTGTTTTATAAATGAAAAAGAATGCCTAAGATTGGCGAATCAAATCATGACAACTGCGCTTTGAGAAGGTTGGATGCAACGTGGAAGAGGTTCCGAGAGTGGTGAAGGTGATCAGAGGAATTAAAAACTGATCCTGGGTAGGAAGGCAAGATGGCAGGAACCGGGACCGAACTGTCTGGAGAAGGGATTTAACGGCTGTGTTTGCACAAGGCAGAGCTAGTGGAACAATCACGCCCAACCAGCGTCAACAGTTCTGCACCAAGGTGGAAGAACTCTTGGGCGGAGCAGCGTAGGACTCGGTTCCAGGCCCTGTGTTGTCCAGCATATTTATGCAGTAAATGACTTGGATGAGGTGCTGGGAAAGAGGGTTATCAAATCTGCAGATGACCCAGACGTGGTAGCGGGAAATAGAAACTCCTTACAGGACAATCTCAAGGTTCAAGAGGATCTTGACAAGCTGGCATAAGGGGCAGAAACCAGCAAGGTGAATTTCAACAGGATCCTACCTTTGGGTGGGAAAAACCCAAGGCAAGAGAAGAGCCTCGAGGGGAAAACTATACCTGGGAGCCAACAGGGTAAAGCAGTTTCAGAAAAAGCCAATGCAATCCTTGGCTGTGTTGCCAGAAGTGAAGTCTCAAGACCAAGAGAGCTCTCTCTCTTCCTCCTGAACAGAGCCCAGACAGGCTCCCGCTTCCAGATCTGGGCACTGCCCTTTAGGAAGCACACTGCCTACCTGGGGAGGGCCCAGAGGAGAGCAGCCAAGGTGACAAAGGGCCCGGGAGGAGAAGCCTGCAAGCAAGAGTTAGAGGTGCTGGTAGGTTTAGCCCGGAGAAACAGGACCTGAAACAAGGGGCTGGATTGCAAGGGAGCAGATTTGGTTGGTCTTCACTAAAACGTTCCCAAGGAGAAGAACTGTTCAGCAATGGAACAAACACCTTGGGAGGTGGTGGACTCTCCTTTGTTGGAGGTGTTTAAACAGAGGCTGGATGGGCTTCTGTTGGGAATGCTCTAGTGGTGCAGTCCTGCACCGGGCAGGACGTTCGACTGGATGACCCCAACATCCTTTCTGACACTTACATTCTATGGTTCTAGGAACATTAAACCATAACTCAGGACTAACAAGCCATAATGATTAAGCCAAAACCAAACATCATGATTTCTTAGAAAGTTGCAGGAACCGGATCATCACAGAAGCCATTATGGAGGTTGTTTTGCTTCAATGTGTTGTGTGAATACAGCCATGTCATTTGCTAACCATGGTTTAACACAAGCACAGCCTCAGATTCCTAAAAAGCTTTCCCATGAGAAAAGGACAATTATTTATTTTCTATTGCTCCAGGGGGTAGAACTAAATCTGCTGGGATTAATTTACAAGAAGGTAGATTTTAGCTGAATGTTAGGAGGAGGATGTGGATTGACAATGGATCCAAATACCAGGAGAGTCCTCAGCAAGGACTGGGCAGAACCTGGCTCACATTTACCCTCCACCATGGAAGCTCCCAGGGTCACGACTCAGCCAGCTTGTCTTATGTGGCTGCTGTTGTGGGGAGAAGGGTTAGGGGATGGAGGGTTAGGTGCGACGCCTTTTGCTCCTGGAGGAAAGGCAGGCTGGGATATTCTGGTCTGGATTGCATTTCCCAGAAGAGGGACAACAAGCCCCCCC